CAGAACAAATTGGGAATCACACAGCTGAAAGCAATGAATCAACGGCTTCTGAAATAAAGAAACAGCTGCAGAAAGGTATAGAGGAACTCAGACTGGAAATAAAAAAGATATCCCTGAATTAATAACATCTACAGTAAAGAAACAAATGCAGAAACATATGGAGGAAACCAATGTCCACCCACAAAAAGTGCAGAGGACACTAGCTCGACTCAAATGTATGAAATAATAGCGTCAATAGTAAATAGGCAACAGCAGAAAGTCATAGAGGATCTCAGAGTAGAACTCTTTTCTACTAGCTTAGAACAAATGTACGAATTAATAGTGCAGACAGTAAATAAGCAACAGCAGAAAGTTATAGAGGAACTCAGAGTAGAATTCTTTTCTGAAATAAAAAAAGAATTCTCAGAACTCATAGCATCTGAAGTAAAGAATCAAGTACAGAAACATAGGGAGGAAACCCAATCTGAAAAAAACACTGCGGTAAAAGAATTTATAACTGCTTCTAAAGAAGACATTGCAAAAAAATAGAAGAGATTAGAAAAATGCCGGATTCCTTGAATGAGCAATACAGGAAAGAAATAGATCTCATGAAGCAGTCAAAGAGATATAGAGGAAATTAAAATCTCAATCACAAGCTTGCAAAACCGTTTAAGTGAAAGTGAAGACAATTTCAGATCTTGAAGACGCTGGTGCAGCTAGTGAAAAGGTAAGAAAAGATCTCTTAAAAACAACTAGGATGCAGGAAAGAATAATTCATCACCTGCACGATGATGCAAAGATGAACAATGTGAGAATAATAGGCATCAATGAGAAAGAAGGAGTCAATACAAATGACATTAAAAAAATATGGGCAGAAGTAATAGCAGAAAACTTCCTAAATATGAGGAAACAATCTTGACATTCAGGTAACCGAAGCATACAGAATGCCAAGGAACCTCAATCCAAAGAAAAACACACCGAGACATATAATAGTCAAGATCCCAGAAATTCAACACAAGAATAATATACTGAAAGCCTCTAGAGAAAAGAAGCAGATCACATTCAAAGGAAAACCCATCGGAATTAGGCTGACTTCTCTTCACAAACCATGAACGCAAGAAGAGCATGGAGCAGAGTACTTCAAGTCCTCTATGAAAAAAACTCCAGCCCAGACTACTATACCTTGCAAAACTCTCAAGTTGGATGGAGAAGTGAAATACTTTCATGACAAAGAACAGCTAAGGAATTTCATGATGACAAAGCCAACGCTACACAGGCTACTGAAAGATATTCTAGAGAGGGACCAAAATGATCAGAACTCCACAAATGAGATCAGAAGCAACCAACTAAATAGGGCAAGGAATTAAACACAGGAGAAAAAGGAGTAAATGACA